GATGATTTGGATGATGATGATGATGATGATTTGGATGATGATGATGATGATGATGATGATTTGGATGATGATGATGATGATGATGATGATGATGATTTGGATGATGATGATGATGATTTGGATGATGATGATGATGATGATTTGGATGATGATGATGATGATGATGATGATGATGATGATGATGATGATGATTATGATGATTTGGATGATGATGATGATGATTTGGATGATGATGATGATGATGATGATGATGATTTGGATGATGATGATTTGGATGATGATGATGATGATGATGATGATGATTTGGATGATGATGATGATGATGATGATGATGATGATATGGATGATGATGATGATGATGATGATGGTGATTTGGATGATGATGATGATGATGATGATGATGATGATGATGATGATTTGGATGATGATGATGATGATGATGATTTGGATGATGATGATGATGATGATGATGATGATGATGATTTGGATGATGATGATGATGATTTGGATGATGATGATGATGATGATTTGGATGATGATGATGATGATGATGATGATGATGATGATGATGATGATGATGATGATGATGATGATTATGATGATTTGGATGATGATGATGATGATTTGGATGATGATGATGATGATGATGATGATGATGATGATGATGATGATGATGATGATGATGATGATGATGATTTGGATGATGATGATGATGATGATGATGATGGTGATTTGGATGATGATGATGATTTGGATGATGATGATGATGATGATTTGGATGATGATGAATATCGGAAATGAATTTTATACAAAAGATGAAATGATATCATCTTAATAGATAGTTTATTCAATATTGAATTCTTTAAAGGTAATCAACAAGAAAATCATTTTGTAGAAGCTGTAAGTGATTGATATAACATTTTCGATACAGTATAGAATTCTCGACATGAATTACTTCAACAAGTTCTTGATTCTTATTTCTTGATCGATTCTGACGATAAATACTAAGTGATCATCAATTAGATTTTAGCAAATCAACAAATCGATATCTGATAAATGATTGTTCTCTTCGATGTATATTTCTAGACAGCACGATATCACTGATTCTATTTTTTTGTATGTTGTACAGTAAAGGATTGTAAACTCTTCATAAACGTGCCTGAATAGATTGTGCAACTAATAGATATAATGATGTGTTGGAACAAACAAGATATTAGCTCCATATGATGTTAGTAACTTCAGGGGTCAGGACGTTAACACTTTGCGCGTGAGACCTATATGTCCTAGATTCAAATCTTGCAAGTGGAATCGTGGATGCGCACTATCAAGGAGTCCCATACTAAGATAAAATAGCATTTAATGATTCCAGGTTTCAAATGATGGAAATCCAGCTTCAATTTAACCATGAATTCAACTATTCAAATGACTACAATCACTACGAAATCCCTATTCTGACAAACATCCATTTTTCTTTAATACCATTTAACATATTACATTTATTACGTAATATATTACATAATCTATTATTTCTATTATAATATACATTTTAATTGAATGAAAACAGACAATCAACATCTGTTTAATTGTTTTTTAATAGAATGTTCCCATAATGTTTTTTTTAAAAATTGGACATTATGTAATGATAAGAAACAAATTTTTGGAAGAGAACACCTGGAACTCAAAAACAACTGTCTGTCAACTAACACCGAAGTCGGATTCTTCAATACAAATATCAAGACAGTTCTATTGTATGTGGAAGGAACTTGGGGAATTATGAAAGTCATCATCTAGAAGATACAAGTCTCTACACAAAATAGTTCGGATCCTTTGATCAGACATTATCAGCAACAATCTACTATGGGAGAGAACAAACGAGATTCCAGTGGAAGAAGAAATTAGGAGGAAGCGCTGAAAGTGGATAGAACACACATTGAGGTAATCACCCAACGGCGTCACAAAACATGCCCACACATGGAATCCCGAAGGCCAAAAAAGAAGAGGAAAACCAAAGAACACATTACTCCGAGAAATGGTGACAGACATGAGAAGAATGAACAAAAGTTTGATAGAACTAGAAAAGATGGCCCAGGACAGAGTGGGTTGGAGAATGCTGGTCGGCGGCCTATGCTCTATTAAAGATGATGATAATGATGATTCTCATTACAATATTTCAACAATTGAAATATTATTGAAGGAGAGATAATGTGGTGTGTGCTACTTATATTGACATAAGTAGCATATAATACTAGTCAGGAATAGAATATCTGATAGCGGAAGGTTGAGAAGATCGAAGAGGAAAGAATGGGAACAGAAGTCAAGTGGTATGGTAATGCCGGAACAATGAATTCTGACGCAATTAATGAACCTTTCGCAAATGAAATACTAGAGTATGATTTTTTTTATTTTATCAAGTAACTCTGTAATTTTATGTTTAATACACCTGTCTTCGCCTTCATTACAATAATACTATGTTAATTAATCCTAGTTGAGGGCTGTTCAATAAGTCATACACACAATCCAGAGGCGATACCGAAACTCCTGGATTCAAGTCCCATGTGCGAGATCTTGGATGTGCACTTCTGAGGAGTTCCATACTAGATAAAAATGGCCGTTCAGTGCTTCCAGGTTTTAAATGGTGATCTAGTTTTAATCGACTCATTCATTCAACTGTTAGATTATTACAACCCCCACAAAATCTTATTCTGATAATAATTATCATATGCTCACTAGTAACCAACTTCAAGAGGTATTTCCTGGAGTTCTAATGAGAAACCGTGACCAGTGGAGTTCAACCGCGTCTGTTTTGAAGCATTGACTCACTGAAGATAGTAGTGAATGGTCACGCATATTCATGGATTGATTAAAGCTAGAAATTAACACTATTAGATGCCGGCAAGTTTAGTGGTCTAAAGATTAAGCTAATCCGTTTAATGTGGGTTCGTGGATACACACGGCTAGCTTCAATTGACTCATGATTTCAACTGTATATAAAAAAAATTACTAAAAAATCTCCCCAAAAACCTCCGTATCATATGCTCACTATTGACTAGTTCCATGAGTTATTTTCTGAAGTTTTAGTGAGAAGCAATAAACAGTGGAGTTCAGCCAGGTCTTTTGTTAGATATCAACTCACTGAAGATTGAATGGTTGATGAACTTCGTGGATTAGTTGAACTTAGACATTAAAATGCCGAACAGCTCAGTGGTCTAGTGGTTAAGCGTTCGAGCACGAAACAGGTAGGTCCTAGGTTGAAATCTCACGAGACAGGATCGTGGATTCTCACTGCCACTGAGGAATCCCACAATAGAACAAAACAACCATCCAATTCTAGAGTGAGTTATTTCGTTTTTTTTTTGGCATACATCGAAAAGTACAGTTATTCGCTAATCCATCATTTATTGGGCAATTTTTTTCAAAATTATTTGTCTACGAATTTTGATTGGTCTAAATTTTTTAACCAATCACATTTCAAGCTTATATATTTCTAATCCAAAAAGGTATATAATTGATTGTAATGATAGTTAATCATTGGTTTCTTTCATACATTCGAATGAATAGTTGAAGTAAACTACTGATAAACTCCACTAATATGCATGATATATGTATATATACTACTTATTATACTTTAGGACTATTTCAATATGAAACTCTTGATAGTAATATGGAATGTATTATAATATGAATCTGGGAAACTAACTGAACTTACCAAACCTGTACCATGTTCTTATTTCATCAATATATCTTCCTTACTTTATACTTTTCATCTTATATATATTGTATTGGACGTGGTTTCTTCAAATCATCATCTTCGAATTCATATCATGAATGGAATCCTTCAAATCAATTGCCTTCTTCCTCATCAATACGATCTTCAACGTCATTATCATCAGCATCTATTTCATCAATCCTTTCACCTTTATCTTATTCAAGTGATACAAATTCATATGCATATTGGAATTGTCATACTATACCACCTAATATGACATTATGTAAAAGTGTTGGTTATTCACGTATGGTATTACCAAATTTTTTAAATCATGAATCATTACGTGAAGCAATACAACAAGCTAATGTATGGATAGCATTAGTTAATACAGATTGTCATCCTGATATACAACGTTTTCTATGTTCATTATATGCACCAATTTGTTTAAAAAGTCATCAAGAATCTAAAATACCACCATGTTGGGAATTATGTAATCAAGTACGTAATTCATGTTTACCTAGAATGAAATTATTTGGATATGATTGGCCAGATATAGTAAATTGTCAACAATTTCCACGTTTAGTTGAAAGTATGTGTATACCACCACAAGAAAAAAGTACAGGTAAGTAAACTTGAAGTATTCAGTTATTATACTCAAGGTATTGTATCTACTCATTGTTATTTAAGACTGCTATTGATCAATCTTTTATTGGTATTTAAGCATTCTGTGCGGATTGACGCGATATTGCCGTAAGTCACTAGTGGAATCTGAGACACGCGTTTCGTCCTATTTTGGGACTCATCAACTGAATATATCTATATCCTAGAGTTGATGTTCATGCTGGGACTCGAACTCAGTACTGTTCGTTTCAAACGCTATTACGTTATAGACAAAGTTACTGAGTTCTAATAGTCATATGCTTATAAATAAATGTTATTCACGAGTTGAAAATTCAGCTGCTAATTTTATCAAACTTCATCTAATTTCTATGATTTTTTTAATAAGTGATAATAACCGGCTGAGTGGTCTAGTGGTTAAGCGCTCTGGCCCTAGACTGCTGTGTCCTGGGCTTGAATTTCGCAAGGCGGGATCATGGATAGGCACACTGCCAATAAGGAGTCCCACATTATGACGAAACGGTCATTCAGTGCTTCCAGGTTTTCCATGGTGGTCTAGCTTCAATTGACTCACGCTTTTAACTATGAAAATACTAAAATCTCCACAAAAAACCCCTTCTGATAATATTAAACTGGTTAGTCCTTTTTTTTAGAATTAATTTTCTACGGAATGAGGTTGTCAACTCCATGACCAAACCTCCTCCTTTATCCAGGCTTGGGAACGGCAGTAGCCCCCGGAGGTGTTAGTTTATTTTGTCTATTATTGTTAATAAAAGATAATCACAGATATTTTTGTACATAAATATCAAGTTTAAACATTTTAATGATTAAGATTCATTCAAAGTTTACTAAGTTAAAGTTGGATTGCATGTCGAATAGTTTGTATACACTCATCACATCTATTTATTGTTCTATATTCAACAGGTTCCTTGCTCTCATACTATGATAATCATTTGGCTCTTAGAAGCATTTATTTTTTTTAAATGTGTCGATCCTCATGAGTTGATTAAATTTAGACCATCATGGGAAACTCGGAAACACTGGATGGTTGTTTCGTCTTAATATGTAACTTCTTAGCAGTGGGTATTTACAATCTCACCTGTGGGACTCGAATCCATGTCATTCGATCTCTCACACGAATGCTTAACCTCTAGACTACTGACTTGGCAATCAACGGTGTTAATATCTAATTTTAACTTATATAACTGATCAATTTTTTTTAGAGAATAAGCTGTATAAAGAAATCCTATAAAAGTAGTATATAGAACAAATATAAGAATCAACAATGGATAGACAAATTAACTTTAAACAATATGTCGACTTCAGTCTATCATCATTTGAACAGTTTTTTTCTGGCTCAGGATCTGACTCCAGTTATATCGTATGAGTGATTGTTATTGAAATACATATCGTCAATCCTTGTGTGAAATTATTTGAATCATAATGGAACAATCCGTCGGATGGATCAGTGAGCAGAGTTGACATGAGAACAAAGTATTGACAAGATAATATGATTTGAGCATGTCTATATCACTGTTATACTGGCATTGATGAATGCGTTGAATGAGAGATTGAGTCATTTGAATTAATCGTCGAATAAGTTGGCTACTTAGTTCGTTTGAAGGTCATGTAGAATTCGAGATATTTACCGTCTGTGCAGATTTTCAGGGTGTGTTGTCATTGAGGATCATGATTTCTTCTATGTATATATTGAGAACTATTGATGAAGAGACTACTACTACTACTACTACTACTACTACTACTACTACATCAGTTGTCTTGACCTGTATTCATTGACTTTATTCATCCATTATAGTTATTGTTTTAAAGTTATGTCCCCAATTAAGTGCTTTGAGGCAAGACTGGTAGGTCCTGGGTTCGAATGTTGCGAGTGCGGGATCGTGGATGTGCATTGCTGAGGAATCCCATAATTGAACAAAATGGCCGTCCAGTGTTTCCAGGTTTTCTATGGTGGTCTAGATTTAATTGACTCATGATTTCAACTATGAAAAAAGAAAAATTTCTTAATCTTCTCCATCCATACCCCTTTTATTTAAAGAAAGTTTTAATTGATGCCTTTATTTTCTTCTTTCTCACTTCTTAATTTGATTTAATCTTAATAACCTATAATTATGTTACCTCTTATTCTAATTTAACTAAACATTCATTGAAATTATGAGTCAATCGAAGTTAGACCATCATGGAAAACCTTAATTAAACATCATTTAATCCATTCCATTCCATCCAAAATGTTCCTTCCTCTTTACTCAGTCCTATAATATCTACCTACCTACACACATACATACATACATACATTCCTTCTGTGACAAACGAAATGACTATAAGTGTTAATAACAATCTTGATTCAATAACAATTTATGAGTTAATTAAAGCTTGGAAATATTGGACGATCATTTCATTGCAATATTAGAATCCTTAACAGTGAATATTTACAATTCCATATGCTCGATTCGAACCCAGTACTCTCAGTCTAGTGACTGAACACTTTAACCTTTAGGTTATTGACTTGAAATCTAATGGTTTTAATTTCATTCACATAGTTGAATACCTTTATTAAACATCATTTAATCCATTCCATTCAAAACACTCCTTCTTCTTTACTCAGTCCTATATGTACCTACCCGCATACCTACCTACCTACCTACCTACCTACATACATGCATACATACATACATACATACATACATACATACATACATACATTCCTTCTGTGACAAACGAAATGACTATAAGTGTTAATAACAATCATGAGGATTTGTCAACAGTATAGTAAATTGAATAATTGAATTCATGAGTCAATTGAAGCTAGATTACTACCATTGAAAACCTGGAAATACTGGACAACCATTTCATTACAGTATTAGAATCCTTAACAGTGAGTATTTACAAGTCCATATGCACGATTCGAACCCAATACCCTCAGTCTAGTGACTGAACACTTTCACCTTTAGGTCATAGACTTGAAATCTAATGGTTTTAATGTCATTCACATTATTGAATACCGGTTTACTGGTCTATAAGTGTTAATTTAATTTGATAGGCTTATTGAAGTAGATGAGGAAAGAAATTAAAAAAAAAATTAATCACTTTAGTTTTTGGTAACAATTTAACTGAAGGGGTTTTTGTGGATATTATAGTAATTTCAATAATTTAGATCACACTCACGAGATTTGAACCCAGCACCTACCAGTGTCGCGTCAGACCACTTAACCGATAGACCATTGAGCCAGTATCCAACCGTGTTAATGTCCAACTTCAACCGATCCACGAAATTCAACAACCATTCACCAATGTCATCAGTCAGTTGATATCTCCCAACAGACGTGGTTTCGAACTCCACTGGTTACTGCTTCTCACTAGAACTCCAGGAAATACCTGATGGAGCCAGTCACTAGTGAGCACATGATCATTATCAGAAGGTGTTTGGTGGAGATTTTAGTAATTTCATAGAGTTGAGATCATGAGTCAATTGAAGCTAGACCACCATCGAAAACCTGGAAGCACTGACAGCATTGCGCATTCATGATCGCGCCTCTCAAGATTCCAACCTAGGACCTATCAGTTTCACACCAGAGCACTTAACCGAGAGGCAGGATCGTGAATGCACACTACTGAGGAGTCCCATAGTAGGACGAAACGGTCATCCAGTACTTACAGGTTTTCCATGTTGGTCTAGCTTCAATTGACTCATGATTTCAACTATGAAAATACTGAAATCTCTACAAAACTTCTAACGGTTTATAGTTGATTTTTTTTTAAAAAAAGGTAGAACTTATTTACGTTTTGCCACCAAATAAAAATAGAAAGTATTGAACCGCCGTTTTGTCTTAGTACAGGACTTCTCAGCAGTGTTCATCCACGATCCTACATGAGGAACATGAAACCAGTACCTTCAGTCTCGCGCATGAACTCTTAACCTCTAGACCACTGAGCACTGATGGTCTAACTTAAATTGACTGATGAATTCAACTGTTAAGAAATCACTACAATCTCTATAAACCCTCATGTGGATCATAATTATATTGATTTGTCAATTATTGTTATTCTTGAAAGAATTTCTTTTTCATTTATCTAACATAGTCTTTAAAATTATGTATGTTGTTCTCCCAATAGTTAGCAAACATGATCCTTTCCTTGTAATAAAACAAAAGTGAATGAACTGTTCTATGAAATCTTGTTAATTTTCTGAAAACTAACTATTAATAAATATTCATAGATGATACACTTGTGTACTTTTGTAAAATGCTCTGGTACTGCCAAGAGTGGAGAGAGTTAGCTCTCCCTCTCGAAATGCTCTCATATGGCCATGAGCATACAATCACTTCTAGGTAGGTCCTACTGATTGCCTTCTCGCATCACGGGTGTTGCTTACGTAATTGAGAGGATGAAAAGCGAATATCCAAAACTTTAACCCGGTTGTTGGATATGGAGAGTTCATCTAGGTGAGTTGGAAAGCCCTGATTCCAAACCAATGGTGTACACGAGATTCATGATTCTGAAGGAACAAATGGCGTATAAACGAATCGTTGGTCACTGTCTATCATAACACTGCATTTCTTAATGTTGCTCCACTGCCTTGTGGACTAGACCTTTGTGTCGAAGTCTCCGAGTGTGGCCGCCTAAGAAGACCACTTGCTTTGGTCTGAACGCCCGGTCGGTATCACAACCCTCACACAAATCGAATGATTTATGTTACATATATCTATTTTCTGTCTCCTTGTATCAATGTTTATGTGTAAATACTATTCTATAAACAAACCAAACAAACACTCTTCTTCATTCTTTGAATTTATGACAACATGAAAGTTTTTGTAAAGTGTAAGCACTGGAACTATTCCCCTAGTTGATTCCTCTTAATGTTTAATTACAAATTTGATATTCCTTAATGTTCATTGATATGGACAGGTGTCATATATCAAGTAATACATGATGAATATTATCACTATCGTTAGTAACAACATAGGTTAGCATAAATATAAGGGA